TGCAGGACATCCTTCAGATTGTTGTTCAAGCCTTCCTGAGGATGAAGAAGGTACGAATGAACCCCAGCTGCATGTTTGTGCATCAGAACGTTGGAGACATCACAGCGAGCGAGAAGAACATGGTAGGGAAAAGGCGCTTACAGGAGAAACTAGATGAGATGACTCAACTAGCGGCTAAAGAAGAAGTCTGTGACGCAGAATATTTCAGTGACGTCATTAAATTTGATATAAAGACTGATGTGAGGTACTTTGCCCAGCTCTGGGAAGGCAGCCCCCCCATGGCACCACCAAATCCATGTTACAGTGAAAATGTCCAGGAGCTTAAGAGCACTATTCTGTCTCATGCCTCAAAAACTATGGGTGTCACACTGGCACAATTTAAAGATCGTATTGGAGATCTCTGGAATGCTCTTTTGAATGAAAACTTTGTTTTCAGCTTCAAAAATACGTTGGAAATTGTAACATACAGGAAATTGGAGGAGGAGTACGCAAAGTGGACCTGGAGTCTCAGAAGTGCCAGGTTGGAGATTGAAGACAAACTACGCAACAGAATCAACAACAGGCAACTGCATAAAATTGAGAGTAGAGAAATGGAAGAGGAGATGGCAAAGACCCTTGAAGAGGTGAAAAGCTCCATGAAACATTACTTTGAAGAACACAAGGAAAAGGAGATGCTGATTCAATGGAAATTGAAATTTCAAGAGAAAATCAAGCACCTTTATGGGGAGCTTGTAAGAGATGCAAAAACAAAATTAGAGAACATCATCTCTCAAAGGGAAGCTCTCACCAAACTGGTGGAAGAAAAAACCCTGCGTGAAAGAAGACTCTTAGAGAAGAGCAAAGAGCTTGCATTCAGTCTTAAGCACAGGGCTCTTGATGAGAATGAGTTGAGAAGACTATTTGATTCAGTTTGGGAAAAGTGGGTCTCTGAGCTGACAGCAGATGTTCCACCTTTTAAAGAAATCAATATAGCACATGACATAATTACAATCCTAAATGAAATGCATGAAGAAGCACTTGTTCGTGACAGATTAAATAAGTTTGAAAACATTGTTCATGTGTCTGATTTCACCATATATGTAAATCCTATCAAAAAAGCCAACAGAAATTCCATTAACACTCCCCTGTTACCACCAGAAGAACAAGAGTCAATAAAACAACTGATGCACAATGTCTTTCGTCAAACTGAGAACCGGGTGAAGTCAAAATCAGTTGCAAAAATTGGATATAATTTAACTTATATACAAGAAATTGCTCAACTTGTAAAAGATACTCTTGGAGAACACAAGTGCATGCACACAAAATATGAATTAAAAAAAGAGTTCATTGTTGATTTGACACTATATATGTGCAGACAGGCAGGTATGAGGTTTGCAGAGCTTAATCAAGTTTTCAGAGAGACTAATGATCCCTGGATGTATTTAGAAAGAAAGAAACCAGAATACTACAGCGTCTTCCAGGGATTCTGCAAAGGTGCAACATCTGCTGCAGTATTTGGAGCCTTGATTTGTAGTGAGCTGAAAAACCCCATTCTTCAGAGTGTCTACAACAAGACTGCAAATGATCTAGCAGGAGAGATGCGCACAAATATTCCAGCTTTCAAAGGCAACAGGTCAAACCTGGAGAAATACATTCTGAAAGCACTAGCAGAGGAGGAGGACTTTCACAAATTCATGGAGTACATTCATCATCCCAGGGACCACTTTGAAGATTTCATCCAACGTGAAGTTAGAGCATACATAACAGAGGGTAACTCCTCAGCTCTTGCAATGATTAAAGGGAACATCAGACACAAGGAGCAATGTGTCATCACGGCTGCTGAAACAGCAACAGCTGAAGTCTTAAGTAAAGGAGAAGATGCAAATATGTGGCTGGAGATCTTCTCAGACTGTCTGAAAGACGAGCTTGAATACAATAAAGAACATCTCACTGGCAACTGCTGTCAGGACATCACTGACTTTGAACTTCTAGAGGAGGTTGTGAAAAGAGAACTTCATCCCATAATAGAAGAGTTGAACAGATGCTTAACAAATCTCTCTGATATTGAAATGAAAATGTTCTGGAAACCACCAGATGAGATTTTGATTGACCATTTCTGCCAATGCTGCTGGGCTCAGTGTCCTTTCTGTAAAGTTGTCTGTGTTAACACAATGGAGGACCATCCTGGAGATCATATCGCTCCCTTCCATCGTAACTGTGGGATGAGAGGGATGATTTACAGAGGTACAACTAACCTTTGCTTGACCTTCTGTACATCTTCAGTGGCAAGTGACACACAGTACTTTTATCCAGATATTCAAAAAGATGACACAGTTGTATGGAAGGAGTACAGAACAGCAGGTCCTCTCTATGCAAACTGGTCCATCACGCCTGATCTCTCAGAGCTGCCATACTGGAAGTGGTTTGTGTGTCAATTCCAGGCTAATTTGGAGAAATATTATAACAAAACATTCAGTGGTTGTGGTGCGATTCCAAATGAATGGAGATCCTACACAAAAGAGCAAGCTATGGAGAGTTTGGAGAAATACCTGTAAATTGAATAGCTGCCTTAAGTTTTTAAATAAACTCAAAGAGGAACCAAAGTGTCCTGTAAAGCCTGGAGCTTATTTCCAATCAGTTTCATTGTTCTCAACACTTACAGGCCTTTTTATAAAGATATTTAATTGTAATTAAAATTATGGAAGATTTTTAATTATTTCATACAGAAATTATTGTGTATACCATTAGTTGACTTCGATGTTCAGAGGTTTTTGATTAGTATTTTAACGCCCCCCCCCCCTCCTCCTTTTCAGTTAAATATTTAGAAAACAGTTTTGTCTACTTTTTGTAACAGTAGTTTTCACTGACATTGTTACATGTACCGTCCAACACATTATTAGTATTGCAATAAAATGACTGTATACTGCACTGTTTACTTCACTAATTGTAATATTGGGTAACACTTTACAATAAGGGTACATGAAAAATCATGTACTAATGCCTAAATTAATACTTAATTAATCAAATACTAATGATTATTAAAGTTGTTAACTAATCATGAATTAATGAAGAGCTATCCTTAACTACAACTGGAGTCATATGGATTCACGCATGAATAACGGCAGCCTTAATTATATTTCAGTACATGTTTGATAGTTAATGCATTATTTAACATTTATGGGTAAACTAAATCAAACAGCCTCTTTAAGAAATAATAAGAAATACTCTGACTTTGAAATAAATTACAAGAACTTAATATCATAATTTGAGCTTTTGTCATCTTCAGCTTATTGATTGATCTTGTCTGTTTTGTGTTGTTCTCTTTCCCTTTAAACTCACCCTGCTGTGACTTATAAACAGCTAAATAAAAATAAAACCTCAAAATCCACAAAGAATATTTGTAGAACAATCCTGAAGAAATGCCCGGAAACAGTTCACTGTCCATCCAGACGCAGGCCGTGATGATACTGTACCTCCGCTCTCTGACCTCTTGAAAATCCACACCACATCTCTTAACCGGACTAAATACTTGCTGTGTTAGTACATGTGTATTTGTAGTAAGTAAAATAAATCATGAGCTGAGTTTAGTAGGTAGTCAATAATGAGTTAATTATTGCGGGCCCTCTCAAGTAAAGTCATGACAAAATAATGCATTAACAAACCATGAGTTAATGTTATTGTATGGGTAATTAATAATGAGTTGGTTATAATGGGCCCCTCAAAGTAAACTCATGAAACAAAGATGCATTAACAAATCATCAAGTAAAAACCATAAACATGCTGTAAGAGTCATCTTTATTCCTTTACACCACCAGTACAACAAACAACGATAAAGGTTATTTATAGTCCTTTTATTATTTATTTACATCATATATGGACTCAAAAGAAAGTTCACACATACCTGTAAAGACACACATAAGGTAAACAATGGCACCTCCAGAAGCTAATGCTAACCGAAGCATTCACAATTAAACGTCAAAATAATATAATTAATTACTGTACATAACTTTGAATAAAACACATGAGACAAACATAAATTTAATTATAAATTCGGTTTACAAAAGCAGCCAACATTTATAAGATTAAAATGCCAGCAAACTGCTAGCGCCTATATGGAATGCCAAAGCTGACTTAATTAGAAATAAAGTAATGTACAAAGAAAAGTTAAAAAGCAAAAATTAAATAATTATTTATAATTCCATTTCCTTATTTATGTATTTTTTCCCATTTATTTATTTTTTATTTTATTTATTTATTTCGACTTTTATTTATTTTCACATTTATGTATTTATTTACATATTTATTTATTTATTTCCACATGTATTTATTTCTACATTTCTTTGTCTAGGGTAATGAGGAGGGCGTGTTTTACCTCAGGAATAGCAATCGAGCCAGAGTAGGCGAGGGGTAAGCTTTGAGGCCGCAGTGACACCTTGTGGTACCCAAACGAAGTACAAGAAGTGTAGCCTACGTGACGCGCCTGTTGATAGTGTGGGATGCATGATTTAGATGGGCAATATGGCCAAAATCTTATATCACGGATTATTATTTCAATTTCATGTGGGGGGTTGTTTCGGCTAGGAAGCGTGCATTCTGTGATCACGTGCATTTGCTGAAGCTCGCTAAAGTGTGCAATCGCTTTCTTGCGCGTGCTGTTTTTTTAGGTTTCACTTCTCGTGTGGTCACCGCATCAACTGATTATAATGGGTTCTCTTGGTGTAGACACGGCTTTAGATACGGATTAATCACACGTCTTAGGCTGGAAATATCCAGAATTAGATCAAACAAAAGGTGTCCATGGGAGCGGAGCTAGTGAAACACACAAGCCATGCATTGTAGCCTAAAACATGTTTAATATTTGCGACTGACCAACGATTGTATGCGGCTATGCAGAATGTTTACATTTTATATACAGTAGGTTATTCAGTGACAAGAAAATACACAGTTAATGAGGTACTTAATTAAAACAGCACAACAACAACAGTTACAAAGTATTGTATTGATCAACACCTACAGGGAATGTTTCATCTCCATCACTCATGAGAAAGTTCCTGAACAGCTCATAAAATGGTTAGCTTAAAGAATGATCTGTGATCTCGTTACAGATGAGGGGGCTCTGGTGAGACCTGCTTTCAGAGTTTTGCGTCTTGGTGGATTCTCAGCTAGTCTCCGTGCATCTTCCTCTTCCTCTCTCCAGAGCTCACGCTTTTTCTTCTCTAACTCCTCCTTCTCTTCATAATTCTCCTCCAGCTCTCTCTCCTTTCGTGCAATCTCTTCCTGTCTCTCCTCCAGAATCTTCTCTTGTTTTTCACGTATCTTTCTCTCTGAGTTCGGGTAAAATGACGTTGTGTAGCAGCTTCTGCCATTGATGGCCACCAAGGTATCGATCTTCTCCAGAAGTTTAGTCACTTGCTCAAAGTTTCCCGTGTTCTTGTTGTTGAAGAACACAAATCCACCACTGCATGTGCGGATAAAGTCTCTGAGGTCTTTGTCTGAGCTGGCAATCACATCATTTGGCATTTTCCCCTCTAGTCGATCTCCGTGTGTGAACAAAACAACCGTGTAATTCCAAACGTTCTTCCCGAACATGTTCTGGATTAATTTATGCATGTTCTTGTCCTCATTGGTTAAGTTTCCCACCGGCTGAACCAACAGAAACACGTGTGGTCCTGGTTTATAGAGAGAGACAGATTTCATGATCTCCCTGATAACTTCCTTCTCAATTCGATTGATCTTATTCAGTCCCGGCGTGTCGATTATGGCCACAGGTCGCCCATTGATGTTTCCAGATGCTCTTTCACAGAACTGTGTGACTCTGCTCAGCTGCATATCTGTGTTGAAGGCGTTGCATCTGAGGATGGTGTTTCCAGATGAGCTTTTTCCAGACCCTCTAGCACCCAGTAACATGATGCGCAATTCCTCTGCCACAGCTTCAGCTGGAAAAAGATCATGTCATGCAGGTTGAAACGATATGAGTCGACTATTCCTTTAAATGGAAAGTTCACAAAAACAAACAAAAAAAATTCTGCCATTATTTACTCAACCTCATGTTATTCCAAACCTGTGACTGTGGAACACAAAGATATTTTGAAGAATGTTGGTAGCCAAACAGTTTTGTTTTCCTTTTATTTTTCCTAGTTCCATTGTTTTTTTTTCATAGTATTTTTTTCCATGCCATGGAAGTCAGTGGGATCCAATACTATTATTTTGTGTTCCACAAAGGACTGAAAGTCATATAGGTTTCGAACTACATGAGGTTATATCATTTTATAATGAGGATGTGATTGAAGTGATTGACAGTTATACCACCTTCCCACCACTAGAGGTCACCTTCTCCAGAATACTGACTGAAATCCTCATTGTTCACACTTGTGTAGTTCACGTTGTTTCTTACTGATTTCATTCCATGTCAAACACTATCTCTGCACCCAAATGTATGTACTATGTACTTGTTTTGAATAACTCAAGTAAAACATTAAATTTGAAGGTCAAAGAACATAAAAGTTAAATGACTGGCAACTGCATAACTTACTGGTTGAGAATAAACAATCAAATGAATTACTATAAGAGAACATGAATTTTGTTCTAAACCTAAATGAGAAGATTCACTGTCTACTTTCTACATAGACAGCTGCCTTGTAAGGGAGCATCCTAACCAAAATTCACTAGAGATGTTGGCATGCTAAACTCATTACTTAATATATTGTACTAATAAGCACAAACTCTCAAATATTGGGTGAAATAGTTAACTCTCAGTTAAAACATTTCAAACTGACATTCCAAAAAGTTATGAATTGCTTTAGAGTTCATTGTATGGCATTCATCCGTCTTTGGGGTTTGCCCAAAAAGTGTTTTGTTGTCAGGAATTTTCTTATGCCTAAAATGCTATCAAATAGTTTGGAAAAGCACATATGACTTTGCAAAACCTTGTTAGTATCAGTTCTGAGTATTCTTGGTATTCTGATCTGATGAGTTGGTTCTTCTTTATCTTGTTTCTGTTCTCTTGGCATTTTGTGTTTTGTATTTACAGCTCAGATCGGAGTGATTTCATGTGCAATGGGCATTGTCTGCTTCTCTAGACTCAAACAACTCTAGCACCCGCTGAACCTGCTTAGTACATTGATTTATTTATATTTAGTGCCGGTGGTAATTAATATCACACTTACCATTCAAGGAGGGTGATTTTGAATTTGCTTTTAAGTCTTGAATATCTAAACCAGATAAAGCCAGAAAATGATTTAATGATAATAACATACTACTACTAATAAAAATAATGAATTAATATAAATCTCACAATTTATTTGGCTTACCATGCCAAGTTGGTGATTTTGAGTTTGTTCTTACGTTTTCATATAATTCATCAATTTCAGCTACGGAAGACATTAATATTAATATTCATTATTAGTGAAAATGAATGTCTTTTTATAAAAGACTTTTTAAAGTGATTTGATTTGAATGAATTGATTCAGACATGATATATGAATCAGTAACTCACAACCCAGTGACGAGTCCAGTTCAAAGGTTTCTTTCTCTATTTCAGCCTTCAGACTGTCCCACAGCTTCTCTTCTGAAGTCATTGTTCTGTTTTATAAAAAAAATAACCTCAGTATTTGAGACTCAACTCCCATCTTTAATATCTAAAGATGTATAAATGAAAATACTCACAGTGGTCAGAGCTGATGTTTATGATTCTGGATCCACAGACAGAGTATAGAATTCTTGAATCTGATTTCCTTCACCACTGTGAATGACTGAGAATCCTGTTTAACCAGTGTCTTTAAGGGTTGCACAAGCCCAATGAGAAGTCTTCTATCTGCCTTCTAACAGGCATTTAGATGATAAGAAAAGACCTAAACATCTTTCAGATACGCAAACAATTTCAGTAGTTTCAAGCATGCAGACACTATTGAGTTAAAGGGTTGGGAAGGCAAGGGTTGCTCATAGCTCTTTATTATTTCATCCAGTCAGACACTTCCACTGTTATCTGGCACGCTTCTCAGGTATGCTGAGCAAACGTGAGTGGCATAAGCTTTATATATATATATATATATATATATATATATATATATATGTCCTATTTGGAGGTTTTTATATGACTGTGTTAAGTATTTCATCTAGTGGTGTGTCAGGATGTGATGTGTGATTTGTTTTCAGGAAGTGCATACTGAAATAACACCTGTGAGCTCACAAGTCAAGGAAAAAAGAAAAGAAAAAAAAAAAGTTTTCTCTGATTGCCATCTGTTGCTATTTTCAAAATGTGTTTTTCATTCAAATTCAATTCAGAGCTATGCATGTATATAATATTTAACAATGCTAACCAAACATAAATATCCCTAAGCACAGCCCTAAAAATGATAAAATATAATAATGAATTAATTGTTATTGTGTGTGACTCATATATGTGTATATATTTGTTGCACACACAAACACACACACACACACACACACACACACACACACACACACATATACTTTGTTTCCTCTCAACATTGCCGTTAAGTGAATAAAATGCAATGAAATGACTGCGAGTTACTTCGGATGAATTAGGGATTGGTAAAATGATAACTCATTAAAACGGTTTGACAAACTGCTTCTTTCAGCACATTTGTTTCTTTTTCATGACCCTCTGAATGGTACAGTATATTACAGTAGATACTTTACATGCAGTTCAGTATATTCCTGAGCTTTGTGAATTTAGTATTTTTCATGTCATTACATTGTTTAGAGCATAAGAAAAAAATGGTAAAATAACATTTTTGAAAAATTATATTTTATGCATATGTTATGCTATGTCTTCTGTAGAGGACACCAGGACTAAAATAAAATGACAAGAATAGACATGAAAAGGCAAAAACAATGGGAATTGTTTTTTTAAATCACCAATCAACTTTTAGGTTTGAGGATTTTTTTATACCTAACTTTGTTTAAGGATGGTTCTCAACTATGTTATAAAATATATAACAAAATGATTTGATATAACAATATTGTGTAAAAATTCCATGAACTGGTTTTCCCATTAAGCACAATGTTATCTATACACTGTATCTAATTTGCATATTAAAGTGCTGTTGGGACAGCATGTTGAAAAAAGAAGTGTAATAATGGGAGTAGTAATTGGCCAGATTTTCATAATAATATCTAATATTTCATAAGAATATTGATATGTAATTTGTTTTCCTGTTCAATTCTTTTGTCTCCCAAAATGTATAATAAACATGCTTTTAGTCCTGGTGTCCTCTACAGTGGACATGTATGAAATTATGTCCTGTTTCATAACAGGAAGTCATATTTTGATTTGAAACCCCATAACATTTTCCTGAGATGTTGATTTATGACAAACAATTTGAAAATTAACCAGATTTATATTATAATTACAAAATATTATCATATTTTTCCATAAGGATGTACAATTTTATCACAAAATTAATGTCAGCCATTTTTAAAAACCAAGGAGAGGGAGTGGTCACGGTGAAACATCCAATCATTTGGTATCTCTGGAAAGCCCTAAATGTGCTCTGTACAGGACATCCAAACTGTGACATGTGAGGTCTCAGAGAAATTCTCTAAAATAGAATGTCCACTACAGAGACAAATACTCCATAGCTGGGTATCAGGAGGATATTCCTGTTGACCAGTGGAGGGCAGTGGTGACACAGGAGCCTCATGATGTGGAAATAACCAGAGCATGTAGTCAAACCACTGTTACTCTAACACTCTGGTATGTTATCAATACACCTCAAGAGGTTCAAAAGAAAGACAGAATGTCAGACAGAAGGAAATGAGCCATCTAACTGAAACACAAGAGGGACGAGAAAGACACCATGGTTGTTTTAGTTATTAGAATCTGGCTAGCACAATTATTTGAGTTTCTGTTTCTAAATGAAACCATTTAACACTCTTTATCCTGAATAAACTATTTTTTCCACTGGTGTTTTAAATATCATAGAGAATATAGAGATAATATGTGACTTATTTCTCCTTCAGTTGTTTATAATCATGTTTTATTTTCTCCCCATGTCAATCTATAAAAAAAATAAATAATAATGCATAACTGGAACTGGAAGCGGCTTTTCTATTTACATGCATGATATATAATCCATGTTTATTACACTGGAGCATTTTTGAGGTTAATCTTTTGTCACTTGATAATAGTGATATTTAAATTGATATCAGATTAAATAAGTTTTATGTATTTTTGTTTGATGCAGGATTTGTGGTGCAGTAATTCATCTAGACTGCTGGGTAAATTTACTTCTCACGATAAGAGAATATTTATTATATTTATTTAAAATGCCATAAATTTACTAAAGAACCACATTTTTAAGATCAGGAAATATTTTGAGCAATATTTATAGTTGCAAAGAGAAATTATTAAATGCAGCAGTTAAGCAAAAAAAGAAAAACTTTTCACTGCCTCCACAATTTCCCTTTCAAGGGAACTTCGAAATGTGTCCTCTAGGGGTCGCTATGGGGAACGCCTCGTCGTGACCCGTGTCTGAAGCATACATTGAAAAAACACCAACAACACGTTGGCCGGCGACAGCCATGACGTCACTACCGGTGCGACTATAGTATAAATAGGCGTCGGGAGCGCACATCATCCTCTTCTTCATCTTCACTGACTGTTTTGTTTGAAGCGTGCATTTCTGTGGTAAGAGCGCATAGATCTCTTTTCATATTATTATGGATCAAATTTAAAAAAAATAAAAAAACAGGGCACTAGCAAAGCGTTTAGAGGATGTGTGCATCTGTGTCGTCATTATTTAACATCTGATGACACACACGATCTATGCGTTGTTTGTTTGGGCGAAGAGCATGCACGCGATGTCCTTGAGGGGGCAATCGGCGTGCACTGCGAGCGTTTTCCAATGAGAAAGCTCCGCTCTCGTTTGTCTCTCTTTTCGAGGAAAGAGGGGCAGCCATCTGCTTCCCGCGGTTCAAGACCTGCCGCTGCTGAGGCATGGAGGAGAATGAGCTTGTGGGGATCGCAGGTGGATCTGGCCAATGAGTTTAAAGAGGGGCTTTCCCTCTCGCGATCGTCGGCTGTGGACTGTGGAGAGTGAGCCGCTGGAGTATGATGTTATTTCATGAACATCGTCTGAACCAGGGGCCAGTGCTCTGCTGAGTTCAGCCCAGGAAATGTCTGAGGAGGGCAAAGAAGCTGAGGCTGAGCCTTCCCAGTCCTCCTGCCCTGCGTACGATGAGCTCTTTGAAAGTTATGGATCGCGCCACGGCGAGGCTTTACTTGCAGTGGAAAATCTTTCTGGCTATAACCCTCCAGCTCAGGTGAGCCTTTCTTTATTCCTGATCTCCATACAGAGATCGAGAAGGAATGGAAGAGGCCGTTTTCCTCACGCATCCTTCGATTCCAGCATACGAGTTATGCCAACATCGAGGCGACGCGCGAAAACGGCTATGAGAAGATGCCAGCTATCTCTCTATGGGTGAGACGTCCTTTCTTAAGACTCCCTCCTTGCCATCTAAGCTTTTTCAGGATACATCTCGCTTGAATGGCAGGGCATACGCAGCAGCAGCAGGTCGGGCTGTCGCTTCATTGCACACGATGGTGGTGCTTCAGGCATATCAGGCTGACCTGCTGAAAGACCTGGATAAAGGTGAGGGCCTTTCTCCTAAGCCCGAACAACCCAGGGGTCCTGGCCCATCTCGGTTTGAGGATCAGAGACGGGCACAGAAGGCTAGTGTCACGGCTCGCGCTCCTCCCCCGCCTGCGGGTAGGGGTAGGAAGAATCGCGGGTCAAAGGGAGGTAGGCAAGACCTAAGGGACATGATCCAGACAAGGCATCAGCGCTTTTGTCCGGATCAGAGTGATACTTCATTATCTACTCATTCCCTTCCTAATTCCCCTGTAACCACCATCTCTCCACCTGACCGAGGTTAGGTGGGAATATCCTGCATTACAGTCTCCTATGCTGGAGCTATGATGTTTGGTTGGTTCTATGGCTTCATAGTGACCACCTTACTGATGGTACGGACCAGAGGTTTTTTTGGTCGCTTCCTGAACGGGGCTCCGGCACGGGAACAATGGTGGGTGAGTACGATCCCTTTCTAAATATATATGTATATATATATATATGTGTGTGTGTGTGTGTATTTAATGTGCTGGTGGTTGTGTGTATAATCCATCTGCTAGCTTTCTTTGCAGTGTTTTTCTTGGCCCTGTGTGTTTCTGTCCTTTTTCTAGGGTAGGTCCTCGGTGAGCACCCCCTCTGCTGGATTCAGAAACCGGGTGCTCGACTTGCAGTGTTTACTTCACTCATCGATATGATGTCCAGCCGGAATGATAGCCTGGTTTCGCCTTCATGCTTCCTGGATTATGCGTCCAGGTCACAGGCTTCTGCGGGAGTCTTCCTGATCATCATGCCCCCGGCCAGGCACTGCAGAATTTCCTGGACGTCCGGGCCGGGCTTATGCTTTCAGGCTGCCCTGTCTGGTATACCGTATCTAGGTCACCCTGAGGGGCCTCCTAGTCACCAGGATATCCCCTCTTGCTGAGGCATCAAGCGGGAAGTATACGTAGGTGGCATTTGCGATAACCTTCTTGTGTAATGCTGTCTCAGGCAGTGCTCCCCTCGCCTTAGAGGGTTGTATTTGAGCTTGCCTCTCCCGTTTGGCTCAGTACTTCCGGGTATCTGTGAACAGATGCTTGGAAAACTCTTAAATCCATACTATGGTAAGTGCGCACATTAAGCTTTGCGCACTTTCTAAAATCCACATAGTGGTATGTGTGCACGTTATGCTTTGCCCACTTTTCTGAAATCCTGTATGGTAAGGGTTACGCGTTATTAGCCTCATTCCCTTTCTCTGAGTTGGTTTAGACCCCGGTACCTTGGGCTCCATTCAACCAGTGTGTCTCTATTGACACACTTTGGAAGCATTGCTCCCCTCACCATTGAGGGTTATTATGAGCATGGTGCTTTCTTTCGAGCGTTTGAATTCTCTCCCTTCTGAGGAGTTGGATTCCTCGCTCCGTGGGCTGTTCTCGTGGTAGTGTTTAGCAGTGCTCCCCTTTTAACAAAAGGGATACCTATGAGCACGCTACTCCTTTCTGAATTTGGAGTTCTCCTCTCACGTGAGAGTTGAGTTCTCTGTTTTCCCAGAGCTTGCAGTACACTTACCCTTCTGATCTCTAACGTTCGTGCTGTAGGTCGAGCCCCTCTTGTTGAGAGCTGGGTGTTTGCTCCCTCAGCTAGAGATTTACTGCTAGCCATTCCAGTAGTATACCTTAGATCGAGTTGATAACTTCTCAAACATAGTGTTTTGGGATGCACCATTTCCATCTATGGGCTGCTCTTTCAGAGTACCACGAGGGCCCCTTAGAACGGTTTTTAAATGACAAATGTAATTAAAATGTAAGTATCAGGGTGACACTACATGAAGTTTCCAAATCTTATGTGATCTGATTATGACAAATGCTTAATATGCTTCATAAAATGCTTTAGTCATCCTTCATGACAATGTTAAATTACAAAAAATGATTTTTGTTCTTTTTGGGGTATTTTCCCTGATGGTCTTGGCCTACAAAAAAAATTCTAATATTGGATTCAATACTTTTCTCGACTTGTTTTCTTTCAGTTAGTACAGGTTTTGTATTTTGTTTTTGGAAGTGATTAATTGTAGGCCTCACTGACCAGAGCTTATGCACAAGTTTTTGAGTGAACATTGCCAAAATTACCCACAAATAATGTTTTTTTTTTCAGGTGCATAAGCTCAGTTCAATGAGCCCTATGACCAATCATTTTTAAAAAATAAATATAAAACCTGTGCTAATTGAAAGAAAACAAGTTTTTTGAGTTTTGAAATTTGAATCTAAGATTTGCTGACAGTATAGCATAATGAGAGATTTACGAGCAATTTTTAAAAGGCTGGTTCTTTTTGGAATTGGAACACCAAATTAGTTACAGGATTTTCAGCACAGCACAAGGGTTAACAAAAAGTTTAGATTTTTAAGAAAAATGTGGATGCCATAAAATATCTCACCATGTTCATTTGTTGATTCAGTTAAATTGGTTTCCTCTATGTTTGGCACATTTTCATACAACATTTCAGTCAGACGAAGAAGTGGATGATGTGTGCTCCCGGCACCTATTTACTGTATACTATAGTCGCACCGGTAGTGACGTCATGGGCTGTCGCCGGCAAACGTGTTGTTGGTGTTTTTTCAATGTATGCTTCAGACACGGGTCACGACGAGGCGTTCCCCATAGCGACCCCTAGAGGATGCAGTGTCTCGTTCCCTACTCAGGGAACCATGGTTACATACGTAACCTGAGACGATTTTTCTTAATTCAGTTGATAGTTTTTCATTATGTAAAAGTTTCTTCTTCCGAGGTATTTTTACACTGATTTAGCTTTTTTTTCCCCCAGGTATTATAGTGATTTAATTTGAATGAACAAAATTGATCAGACATCATATTTGACATTAGTGATAGAATTTATGGAAAAGATATAACCTCTCAGTCATTTGGTAGATGTTTTGGCACATATATTTTCATACATTAGCCTACACTAAAAACAATCATTTTACTCAGACAAGAATCACATATATAATCACGCAAGTTTTGTCAAATAATTGTTAGAGTTTCTAGGTGCAACACTTTTGGTCTGATGAGTGGCGTTTGGCTAGACTGATGGACATTTTTTGTTTGGCTGGATTCCCAGCCTTTTTTCTTGCATCATCTTCTTCCGTTCTCCAAAGTTCCCGCTTTTTTCTCTCCACCTCCTGCTCAGTTCTACTGTATATCACCAGCTCTCTCTCCTTCTGTCCAATGTTCTCCTTTCTCTTCTCTAAAATCTTCTCCATTTTCTTCCTGATCTTCCTCTCTGAGGCCGGATAAAAAGACAACGTGTAGCAGCTCTTTCCATTGATGGCCACGAGGGTCCAGGTGCATAAGCTCAGTTCAATGAGCCCTATGACCAATCATTTTTAAAAAATAAATATAAAACCTGTGCTAATTGAAAGAAAACAAGTTTGAGTTTTGAAATTTGAATCTAAGATTTGCTGACAGTATAGCATAATGAGAGATTTACGAGCAATTTTTAAAAGGCTTTTTGGAATTGGAACACCAAATTAGTTACAGGATTTTCAGCACAGCACAAGGGTTAACAAAAAGTTTAGATTTTTAAGAAAAATGTGGATGCCATAAAATATCTCACCATGTTCATTTGTTGATTCAGTTAAATTGGTTTCCTCTATGTTTGGCACATTTTCATACAACATTTCATGTGTTGCATCTGTGAAAAAAAGTTACTGCTTGAGTCTAAATAAGACATTTTATATTGACAGGCTATTTGCTGTGTAATCTTTAAGAAATATTGTAATGAAAAAAACATTGATCTTCCTTATCTGATAGTCAGTTAAAATGTTGTATTGAATAGTTAGTATAATAATGGCATAAGAGATGTCATAAGATGTTGTAAACAGATTGTTTTGTGTTATTCATTGTGACTTACAGCTGGTTGATAAATCCAGTGCAGAATCATTCTCATCTTCCTCAGAGTCCATATTATCATGAAGAGTCATTATTTTCTGATGTAAAAAGAAGAGAATTGCAAGCATCAAACTGCAGAATATCCTTCTCCTATTCAGTATTTTTGTCTTGTTTTCCGGTCAAATATTATTGCACTAATCTCATTTTAAGCATAAACATCAATAACATTTGTAAGATGCTTAAAACAAGCAAAAGGTCCCTGATCTGCTATTTATGAAAAGTTTAGTTTCACTCTGCTTATTCTGCATCATACAAGTATAACATCAAGGAGAAAAGAAAAGGACTTACCACAGTTGATGAAGTTTAGAGATCAGCATTGACACACTTGCATATGAAGAGTCTCTAGGAAATATGCTGCTTTCTTCTGTACGATGAAGAGTTTTTCTGTTTGAAGGTAGGTGTAATGTAATCCACACAGGTAGCCTATCGACTTCAGGTAGAGGGCTGGTCTTGTTAAAAGATGCGAACTCTTCATTCGACAAGGGTTTCATTGAGGCACAGGACTAGTTTGACATGTTAGTCAAGTATATAGAGTTTGTTTGGCATGTCCTTTTCTGTTCCAGTGAAAAATGCCCCTCCGGCCTTGAAAGTGGGGGTTAGTTTTCAAACTGAGTAATAGAGTAGATTAGGCTGACAACATTTGAACACACACCTGGAAATAATGATACATGTGAACCAGTCAAGACACTTAATTTCGCTGCAGTCTGAGCTGTGGCTACATTTCACAATAGCTGTTATCTAATAGGCCTATAACAAACAAATTCTTGGTTTCCTTTTTTTTTTCTTTCTTATTTGCATTGTACCTTTAAAATCAGCATGTTATATATGACAAAAAATATATATTATTATGATATATAGTAGTATTATATATAGTAATATGCAAGATAATATTTTGTTTTTAATTTACTATTTACTTTTATTATTAGAAAAATATATGTTATTATGCTATAATACAAAATATAATGTAATATAATTAATATTATATTATTGTAATATAATGTTATGTTTTATATTGTATAGTGTAGTATAATATCTATTTATCTATCTATCTATCTATCTATCTATCTATCTATCTATCTATCTATCCCAATGATAATCCCTTGAGTATATTAAAATCTGTTTATTTAAAGTCATGTATTTGTTTGTTTGTAGGGCAGTGTAACAGCAATGACGGTTTTCTTTCCTCTTGACACAGCCCGGCTCAGGCTGCAAGGTAAAAAGGGAAACACATGAGTTTAATTTCCTGCTGACTTGACTTTTGTTCGTGTTTTAAAATACGTGACCACATTTCTTTCTGTTTCTGTGCCGTTGATGACAAGCGGAAAGCCAAATCTACCCCAGCCATTCTGTCTGAGATCATCAAGGAGGAGGGTCTGTAAGTTATTTCACATGCATCTCTTTGTTTTGTGTCATTATCTTTTTCATTTCAGGTTGCAAGCATAGCCATGCTTTTTTTGTTGTTTTTTTTGCTCTCTCTCTCCAGATTAGCTCCATATAGAGGCTGGTTTCCAGTGATCTGCAGCCTTTGTTGCTCAAACTTCGTCTACTTCTATTGTCTCCATAGTCTGAAGGCCACCTGGCTGCAAGGTCAGAGGTCAACACCGGGACGAGACCTCATTTTTGGCATTGCTGCAGGTTTGCTTTTTTCAAAAACATGAAATGATCAAAAATCCAATAGTTTCTGTCATGCACTTCCGTTCAAAAGTTTGGGATCAGTAAGATTTTTTATGTTTTTTAATGGAGTCTCTTATGCTCATCAAGGCTGTATTTATTTAATCAAAAATACAGAAGAACAGTAATATTGTGGAATTATAACATTATTGCAATTACTAAAATTGGTTTCTTATTTTAATATACTTAAAATAATAATAATTTATTTCTGTGACGCAGCACGGTATTTTCAGCATCATTTCTCCAGTCTTCAGTCACATGATCCTTCAGAAATCATTCTAATATGCTGATTTGTTATCAGTGTTAAAACGGTTGTGCTGCTTAATATGTTTTTTTTGGAATCTGTGATACATTTTTCTTTGATTCTTTGATGAATAAAAAGTTAAAAAGAACAGTGTTTATTCAAAATAGAAATATTTTCTAACAATATAAGTCTTTACTATCACTTTTGATCCATTTAACACATTCTAGCTGAGTAAAAGTATTAATTTCTTAAAAAAAAGAAAAATGTACTGACCCCAAACTTTTGAATATATATATATATATATATATATATATATATATATATACACACAATAAAGCAGGCCAGTTTGAGTACTTTTGTATGATTGTTTTATAACGATTTGAAAGAGAAACCTGTTTAATCATATCTGCGACAGTCATATTTCCTTCTATTTTGAATAAACACTGTTCTTTTTAACTTTTTATTCATCAAAGAATCCTGAAAAAAATATCACGGGTCCCCCAAAAAAATATTAAACAGCACAACTGTTTCCAACATTGATTATAAATCAGCATATTAGAACGATTTCTGAAGGATCATGTGGCACTGAAGTTATTTTAAATTGCAATAATATTTATTTTTCTGTATTTTTGATCAAATAGATACAGCATTGTTGAGCATAAGAAACATCTTTAAAAAACATAAAAAAATCTTACTGATCCCAGACTTTTGAATGGCAGTGTATATATTTTGTGCAACCAGTATTTAAACAGAAATGTATGAATGTATTGTTGGTGCTTCCCACAATTTAGATTTATATTACTTAGTTTCTTCTTTTCATTTCGAGTTATCTTCGTTTCGAACATTAATATTGTGAATTATTAAACGGTTTTGCTGCTTATTTATACAGAGACCTGTATGATTTTTATTTACTTATTTTTTGTGTGGTAATCATTATTGGGTAGTACCATTCAAAAGTTTGGGGTAAAATAAAATAAAAAAATGAAAAAGAAATTAATACATTTATTTAGCAATGATGCATTCAATTGATCAAAAGTGAATCCTTTAAAAAATGTATCATGATTTCCACAAAAATACTAAGCAGCAAAAACATTTCTAACATTTTTTCAACATTAGCAATAATTAAAAAAAACATTATTAAAGGCATACTTTACCCCAAAATAAAAGTTTTGTCATTTACTTTATTTTACTTTTTTTTATGTTCTGTTGAACACAAAAGAAGATATTTTGAAGAATGTTGCTAACCAAGCAGCTGTTGGTCCCCATTGACTTCCATAGTATTTTTTCCATACTATGGAAGTCAATGGCTACCAGCAATTGTTCGGTTACCTACATTCTTATCAAAACATCTTCATATGTGCTAAACCTTTCTATCTTCCTTTAGGTGTAGTGAATGTTCTTGTGACCACTCCGCTCTGGGTAGTCAATACCAGACTGAAACTGCAGGGGGCAGTTTCAGGGGGCAGCAAATTCAGAAATGAAGACATACAGCCCCACACTACAATGGAATTATTGGTCATTTTAAAAGACATCATACATGATCTTCATTTCATTGCCTTTAATTCAAATGTGTGTCCAGTGATGATATAAGGTGATCCGTCTCTCTTTAGATGCGTTGGTACAGATCATGCAGCGGGAAGGAGTGGGTGCGTTATGGAACGGGACGTTTCCCTCCCTGCTGCTGGTGCTCAATCCAGCCGTGCAGTTCATGATCTACGAGGGTCTGAAGAGGCAGCTCATGAGGGGCGTCCACAGAGAGGTCAGAGCAGGCTGCTGATCCCAGAACAGTTTTTAGGGTTTATAATTTACTCAATTTCATGGTAAGAAACTTTTACCATTTTAAAGCTAATACAGTAATGTAAAAACTTTGAATTATCTCTCTGCATACTCAATCATGACAACATATAAATAAACAGATGAGTCTATTCACAAGATCTCTGTTGCCTAGGAAACAGTAACTACAGCATTTCTGATATTAAAAAACATGCAGATGATGATTCGCTCATTTAGATGCTCGTATTCATGTGCAAGCATCTGTCGAGTATGAGTAAACGAAAAAAAACATAGCAACCTAGAAATATGATTATGTAACTCCTTGGTAACCATGGATGATGTCACAGTCCATTGAAGTTTAAATTAGAACATATCAGTGTTTTGGTTTGTCTTTCAATGTGCAGTTTATCTACATATTTTAAGTTTCTTCACCCAAAAACCTACATTCTGTCATCGTGTTGTGGGTTTCGTGATAACGGAGATGGAATGTAAACGCACAAAAAAAAAATCTTCTGTTATAGAGGAAAGACAGACTCTTCATTGTTTAACTTAACTTTTTTTCCACTATATTTCTGTCTGATTGTTTATAGCTCTCCTCAGTGGAGGTGTTTCTTATTGGAGCCATTGCCAAGGCCGTTGCAAGCACCATAACCTACCCTCTACAGACAGTTCAATCCGTTCTACGGGTAAGACCAGAATACGTTTAGTTTATATTTGCCCAATCAGCTCATATCATGCATACTGGATTATTGGTTCTCAACTGATTTTGTTGCAGGTCTTTGATTTTTATATCCTTTCAGAAGTCTGGGGTTGGTAAGAAAGACATTTTGAAAGAAATAAAGACTTTATTTAAAAGGCGCTTATATACAACTGTTCAAATGTTTGAGGCCAGTAAGAAAAAAAAAATTATTCTCTGCAAAAATACATTAAATGGACACTGTTACAATTGCTATTAATCAAACAATCTGTATCACAGATTCCCCAAAAAATATTAAGCTGAGCAACTGTTCTAACTGTTCTAGGACTGAAGTAATTTTTAATAGTGTAAAAGTTTTAATAGAGTTCATTTGAAGAAGTCTGGATAGATAGATAGATAGATAGATAGATAGAGTGAGTGAGTGAGAGATGATAGATAGATAGATAGATAGATAGATAGATAGATAGATAGATAGATAGATAGATAGATAGATAGATAGAGTGAGTGAGTGAGAGATGATAGATAGATAGATAGATAGATAGATAGATAGATAGATAGAGTGAGTGAGTGAGAGATGATAGATAGATAGATAGATAGATAGATAGATAGATAGATAGAGTGAGTGAGTGAGAGATGATAGATAGATAGATAGATAGATAGATAGATAGATAGATAGATAGATAGATAGATAGATAGATAGATAGAGTGAGTGAGTGAGAGATGATAGATAGATAGATAGATAGATAGA